CAGGGAGCCCGGTGCGGGACTCGATCCCGGGACTCCAGGATCATGACCTGAGCCGAAGGCAGTCGCTTAACCAACTGAGCCACCCAGGCGCCCCTCAGTGCATGTTCTTAATGTCGGAGGGAGGGCTCCCCAGAACTGGCGTGTGGGCCGGGCCTGCACAGATGGGGATTTGAGGATCAGAAGGGGAGCTCTTAGTACGGCTGGACGCCCATAGCACTTCTCTCCCCCTCCCCGCCTGCCCTCTCCCCCCACCTTTTCTCCCTGAATTGCTCTCTCATGTATGTGTCTCTCTGCCTCCCACTTTCTGTCTCTTTGTCCCTCTGTCTCTTTCTGCCTTTCATTCTGTCTCTGCCTCCATCCGCGTCTCCTCTGGTTTCTCGTTTCTGTCTGCCTCTCTGTTTCCCTGTCTCTGTTTCTCTGGTGTCTCTCTCACTCTCTCTGTCACTCTCGATATTTCTGTCCCTGGCTTGCTCTCTCTCTCCCCATCACTGTCTGCTTCTGTCTGTCCTCTCTTCCTGCATCTGTCTGTCTCTCTGACAATATAGAGGAGGACCCTTCGGAGGACGATTCCATCAAAGACTCTCTGGGCACGGAGCAGTCCTACCCATCCCCTCCGCAGCTCCCACCACCACCAGGGCCCGAAGATCCCCTGTCCCCCAGCCCTGGGCAGCCCCTGCTGGGTCCTGGCCTGGGCCCTGATGGCCCAAGGACTTTCTCACTGTCCCCCTTCCCCAGCTTGGCTTCTGGGGACAGACTGGCAGGGGACGCACTGCTGTCCAAGCACATGATGCCCCCGGCCACCTTCAAGGGGGAGGCAGGCGGCCTGCTGGTGTTCCCCCCGGCCTTCTACGGCGCCAAGCCCCCCACGGCCCCTGCCACCCCCGCTCCTGGCCCTGAGCCACCTGGGGCCCCCGAGCCTGTGGACGGGGGTGGGGGCAGCGCAGCTGGGGCAGGGGCCGGAACCGGAACCGAGGAGGAGCACCTGGACACGGCAGAGATTGCATTCCAGGTGAAGGAGCAGCTGCTCAAACACAACATCGGGCAGCGGGTGTTTGGCCACTATGTGCTGGGGCTGTCACAGGGCTCAGTCAGCGAGATCCTGGCCCGGCCCAAGCCCTGGCGCAAGCTCACGGTGAAGGGCAAGGAGCCCTTCATCAAGATGAAGCAGTTCCTGTCGGATGAGCAGAACGTGCTGGCTCTGAGGACCATCCAGGTGCGGCAGCGAGGTGAGGGCCCATCCCAAGGCACGGGGGCTGAGGGCGCAGGCTCTGGGCTCAGAGCCAAACTCTGCCACCTCCCAGCTGTGTCGCCTGGGGCAAATGACTTTGCCTCTCTATGCCTCAGGTTCCCCTCTGTAAAACAAAGAAATATATCCTCGTTCCCTTCTTCCTGGGGCCTGTGGCTACCCCTTGCTCCCCACCTGGCCCTAATGGGACAGCTCAGGCTGATCACTGTGGGAGAAGGCTGAGCCCAGGGGCTGTCCTGGCAAGTAGGTACTTCCTGAGGACCTCCAAGCCTCAGTTTGCCCATCCATGAAATGGCCTGGGTTCCTGCCAACTTGCCAGACTTGACTTTTAGGGTAGCCCATGTGAATGGCCCAAGCTTTGACCTTACAGACACACCTGAGCTTGAGTTCCAGCTCTGCCACTCACGTACTGGGTGACCTGGGGCAACTGACTTTAGCTTCTGTGCCTCGGTTTCCCTATCCATCCCCATCTGTCAGCCTCCTCTGAGGGTTAAATGAGTATAAATCTTTCAGCAGGGCCCCTGGAACATAGTAACTGCTTGAGAACTATTAGCTGTGGTGGTGGCCATCGTTGTTGTTACCATTGTATTATTATTATTAGTTTAAGCCAGAATCATTTGTAGATCCAGTTTGTCACACAGACTGGCTAAGTGGTGGTCTTGCCACACACACTCAAGGTCTCCCAGCCCTGGCCCTGGAGCCCCTGAGGGAGGAGGGGACCCACCCTTCGCCCTGCCCAGCTCCAGAGATTGACCCTCAGCATGCAGGTCCCCACGACAGATGCCCCCTTGCCTCCCCCAGGCAGTATCACCCCAAGGATCCGCACACCAGAGACAGGCTCGGACGACGCCATCAAGAGCATCCTGGAACAGGCCAAGAAGGAGATCGAGTCCCAGAAGGGGGGTGAGTGCCACTGCCGTAGAGGAGGCCTGAGGCCTCCGGGACCTGCCCTGAGCAGGAGGTGCGCCCTCGTCCGCCTTCGTCTACCACAGCGGGATTGCAAGCAGGTCAGAACCTCTTTGCCAACCAACCTGCAGCCAAGTGAGGCCTGGAGAGCCGGGTCCCTGTTAGTATGGGAGCCACTAGCCATGTGTGACTATAGCCACTCAAATTACTTGAAGTTAAATAAAATTACAGCTTCAGTTTTTTGCACAGTGACAAGTGGCCGCCATATGGGACAGCCCAGCCACTGCCGCCGCCCTGGTCTGGATTGTCCGGGTGTCTTTGACTTTGAGGAGACACAGTGATCGGTAATCACACAGGAACTCTGCCAAACACAGAGGCTGAAGCCTCCCCCTCCTTCCTGCACCTCCACTTCCTAGTTCCCAAAGAGACCCTGTTCTCCTGGCTTCCTCCTGCCTCCCAGTCTATACCTTCTGCACTTCCCAGGGGGCCCTGCGTTAGCCTCGTAGTGCTGCTGTTCAGCCACAAACTCAGTGGCTAAAAACAACACAAACTGATGGTCTTACAGCTCCAAAAGTCACAGGTCCACAGTCAGCTCCCTGGGCTAGAGGTAAGGTGTCGGCAGGGCTGCGTTCCTTCTGGAGACTCCAGAGGAGAATCCATTTCCTTACCTTTTCCAGCTTCTAGAGGCTCCCACATTCCTTGCCTCACGGCCCCTCCTGCAGCCTCACGGCCAGCATCATAGCAGCTTCCTCTCTGCCTCTGATCCTCCTGTTTCCCTCTCACAAGCACCTTGTGATGATGTGGGGCCTACCCACATGACCCAGGATCGTCTTCCATCTCAAGATCCTTAACTTAATCACATCTGCAGAGTCCCCTTTGCCATGTGAAATAACATAGTCTGGGCCCAGGGAAGCGGATACCATTGGGAGACCATTATTTAGCCAACCAGAGTGTACTTTCTCCATCAGGCCCTCTGACTTTCCTATCCTTCCTAGATGAGTTAGTCCATTCCTGGAAGTTCCATCAACACCCAAATCACCCCCTCTCCAGGCCACACCTCTCTCGAGAGTTCCAGAGCCCTAAGCCAACTGCTGGCTGGACATGTCCACCAAGGGCCCCACTGGCATCTCAGACTCAGCGTGTCTGAGATGGAACTCACTGTCTTCCCCTACCCCTCACTCACTCCCCAAACCCACCAGCTCAAGGCTGGGAACCTGTCACAGATGGTGCCAGATACCCAGGTGGGGTGAGAGGCCATCCTTGACTGCCACCATCATCACTTGCTGGGACCATTGCATTAGTCTCTTCACTGGTATTACCAATGATATTCTAGGTCCCACTGCAGCCCATTCTCCACCCAGAGGCCAGAGGGATCTTTCTAGAGCATACACATGGTCATGTCACTACCTCAGAATCCTTCCACAGCTCCCCATTGCCCTCAAGATAAAAATGCCAACTCCTCAACAAGGCCCCAGGCCCTATGGTGTTGACTTCTCCTGACTCCCTATACCTCTCGAATGAACTGCTTATAGCCATGTCCATTCTCATGCTGTTCCCTGTGCCCCTAATGCCATCCTCACCCCTGGCCAACTCCTGCGCATTCTCAACAATTCAACTCAGAAGTCACCTCGTCTAGAAAACCCCCCACCCCCATCCAGATGGACTGGATACCCATCCTCCTTGGATTCCCCACAATCACCTACATTGCTTGATGCAATGGAGCCAGAGTGGCCTGGCTGTCAATTTTGTCTCTGCTGTTTATTAGCTGTGTGACCTTGGGCAAGCTTCTTAGCCTCTCTGTGCCTCCATTTTCTCATATTTAAAATAGGCACAATATTAGTACTTCTTTCTTAAGGTCGTGTGAAGATCAAATGAAATCAGTCCTGACGAGCACTCAGCCTGGGGGCCTGGCATGTAGAAGATGCCCCTGAAAATTTAGCTATCATTAGAGTTAACATCATCATCGTTTTCGTCTCTTGTTACATTTGTTCACGTTACAAATACCTCTGCTGATATGTGTGTCCCTCCTACCAGTCTGAGGGCATTTTGCAGCCAGGGACCGAGTTGCATCCCTGCACCCAGCACGGTGTATCGCCAGGCCATGCAGACGGTTGCTGACTTTGAAGCGGATGCTGGCCTCCGCATTCCCACTTTGTGGTGTCTGCTGCCCCCTGGTGGCAACTCGGAGCAAAGTGTCCTGATTCCCAAGCGTCAGATTTTGTGGCCGAGAGCCAAGTGTTTCCCAAGGGCCCTCCCTCCTGCCTGGTCCCTGGTGAGGGGCAGAGGAGGCTCACCCTGCTAGGAGCCTACACTGCCCCACCCAGATAATCCACTGAGGCCCTACTCTGTACAGTTTAATTTCTTTCTTCTTGAGCTCCTGTGGCAAGAGAGACAATCATTCGGTAAACATTGGTTAAGCGTCTACTGCGTGCTGGACACAAGGTACAGCTGTGGACGAGACACAATATTGGAGTATAAAGAACCATGAGAAACAGATTAATCAGACTCTCCCACTAAATAAACGGGACAGCTGAGAGCAGAGAGGGGGAAACACCTCACAGTTACACAGAGATTGAGGGAGAACCCAGGTCTCCTGACTCCCTATACAGTGCACTCCCACAGCCCGGGGTGGGGGGGGGGGTGTCAGAAATAAGATAGCAGAGAAATTAAAAAGACAACATCAGGGGCACCTGGGTGGCTCAGCTGATAAAGCGTCCAACTTTTAATTTCGGGCTCAGGTCATGATCTCAGGGTAGTGAGATCGAGCCTCGAGTCAGGCTCCATGCTGGGCGTGGAGCCTGCTTAAGATTCCCTCTCCCTCTGCCCCTCCCCCCCATGCACACTCTGTCTCTAAAAACATAATAATAATAAGACAAAAGGCAACATCATAGCAGAGTGGACCAGCCAGGGAGCTTTCCATTCAGGGTCTGTGAAGAGGTAGCAAGAGAAAAAAACGCCTGGGTTCTTGCCCCATGCCCCTGACAAGAGTGAGTGCTACGCAGAGAGCAACTAGCAGACTCCCGGGGAGGAAATGAATATGGCTGACTGCTAACTCGAGAGTTCTACTCTCAGAATTGAAGGAAATATCCAGGATGGGGACAAAGATTTATATCCTTTATTGTTGTTCACAACAGTGACAAACTAGAAACAACCTAAGCATCCAGCAGTGGGGGAATCGGGTAAATAAAGCAGAGAATATCCCTTCAAGTGGCATAGGCAGCCGTCAAAGGTAGAACTTTTAATCATGAGAAAAAAATACTCATGTTGATACTAAGTGGGCACAGACCAGGCTACCCTCCCACATCAAGGATGATCACCCCATGCATGCGGTTAGAAAGCAGGCCAGAAGGCAATACGTGAGGCTATTTCATGTGGTTGCCTTTGGCAGAGAGATTAAATTCATTTACCTGGCTGGCTTTATTGCAGTATCTTCACAGTATCTCCAAAGCATGCTTATACTGATGCTGGGAACATCTTTGCCCTTCAAACCATGCCCTGACCCTGGGCCTCTGGCCACCCTGTCACCCTCCCGATAGGTGAGTCCAAGAACACAGCGGCCCCACTCAGCATCACCAACGGCGCAGCCCCCGCCAGCGCCTCGGAAGATGCCATCAAGAACATTCTGGAGCAAGCACGCCGCGAGATGCAGGCGCAACAGCAGGCGCTGCTGGAGATGGAGGCAGGCCCCCGGGGCCGCTCAGTGCCTCCCTCGCCCCCAGAGCGGCCGTCGCTGGCTGCCGTGAGCCAGACCGGGGCCCCGACCTATGTCAAGCAGGAGGACAGCAGTGGCGGGGGCACCAGCAGCTGTACCACACAGACGTCCCTCACGGTCCTGTCCCCCGCAGCCTTCGTGCAGAGCATCATCCGGAAGGTCAAGTCGGAGATCGGAGACGCTGGCTACTTTGACCACCACTGGGCCTCGGACCGCGGCCTGCTCAGCCGCCCCTATGCCTCCGTCTCGCCCTCCCTCTCCTCCTCCTCCTCCAGCTACTCTGGACAGCCCAACGGGAGGGCCTGGCCCCGTGGGGACGAGGCCCCCACAGCCCCTGAGGATGAGGCGGCAGGGGGCGAGGATGAGGCCCCCAGGCTGGGCGAGCTGAAGTCTGAAGGGGGCGTCCCGGAGGCCGGCAGCGGTGGGCGGCTGGCCTACTACCCTGCGTACGTGCCCCGCACGCTGAAGCCCACCGTGCCGCCCCTGACCCCCGAGCAGTACGAGCTTTACATGTACCGGGAGGTGGACACCCTGGAGCTGACACGCCAGGTCAAGGAGAAGTTAGCCAAGAACGGAATCTGCCAGAGGATCTTTGGGGAGAAGGTGAAGATAGTGGGGCCCACCCCCAAGAATCTCAGGGGGCCGTGGGGCCCATGGGACCTGGGGAGGGAGGACCACCTGAGGACCCAGCCCCCAGCGTTTATGGTCTGGAAAGAGAAGTTGTGTGTATGAACAGAAACAAGGCAAAAGCAGGATTCAAACCCAGGTCTGCATGACCCCAAACCCTTTCTCCTGCATCCACCTGTCCCTGGGTCCTGGGGGAAGGGTGCCATAGGCAGGGCTGACATTCAGTCCTATGGATGTTCAAGCAGTGAAATGCTTGTGTCTGGTTAGGAATAGCTACTTACCTCCCCTCCTCCAGAACCCTCCATCCCTCTCAGTGGTCCACCCACTAAAGGGTTAAGGCTCAGCCCAGCCAGGGGTGCCCTGCAGTACCAGTGGTTAAGTAGTTTTTAACAGGACCTCTGCGCATAGCAGAGGAACAGGCAAAGGGTCAGGTGAGCTGAGAGATAGGAGTGACCTAAGTGGAAGACACTGGAAGACTTCCTGGAGGAGGGGGCATTTGAGGGCTCTTGAAGTCAGGAAGGATTCTTACACGTAGGGATATCTGGAAGGGCATTGCCGATGGGGGGCATGGCCCAGGCACACAGCAAGCACCTGGGAAATGAACAAATCAAGGCAGCCCTGGTCTCCCAGAGAATCCGAGTGAACAGTGGTCCCTACGGATCTCGCGGAGAGGGAGGGAGGGGAGGCCAGGGAATGGCCCAGGAGCCTGCCTCCCTACCCTTCCTGCTCCGCCCATCCCCAGGTGCTGGGCCTGTCCCAGGGCAGTGTGAGCGACATGCTGTCCCGGCCGAAGCCCTGGAGCAAGCTGACGCAGAAGGGGCGAGAGCCCTTCATCCGCATGCAGCTGTGGCTCTCGGACCAGCTCGGCCAGGCCATCAGCCAGCAGCCCAGTGCCTCCCAGGGTGAGTGTGGTCGGGGCCCTCTCGTAGGATGCTGCCAGCCCCCCAGAACTGCCATTCCCAGCTGCCATTTCCCTGTTCCACCTTTCATCCTTCCTTCAACCAGAATGCCCTCTGTTGGTGGTTTTAGACTCTAGGTGGCGCCAGGGTTCCTAGAGCAAGTGGAGAAAATACTTTGCTTGCGGAGCCGGAGCCGCAACACCCCATCCCCTGACCGGAGTCGCTGACTGACCTCTTTTTCCCAGTGATGCAACACGCAGCCTCAGAAGCCTTAGCACAGAGATTTGGGCTGTTATCCATCCATCAGTGATGCACAGGCAGGGTGGGGTCTGAACGTTGGCTGGGTGAGGAAACTGAGGCTCAGAGAGTTACCCAAAGTCACAGAGCAGAGGTGGAAGGACGGAATCCAGGGAGGGACTCTAGGAAGCCCACGTTCCCTCCCCCACAACGACCAGTGGGCAGGTCAGTCGGAGTCCAGGTAAGGTGCAAGTATGAACAAGAATACTACCAGAAACATAATGTCAGGCAGCAAAAGCATCCCAGGTGATGGTGTTTATTTTAGAAGTTCATGCCCACAAGACAAGACAGCACATTGTTGCAGCATTGGCTACAAGCCTGTGCTTAAAATGTCAAAAAGAGGGGCGCCTGGCTGGCTCATTCGGTAGAGCATGTGACTCTCGATCTCAGGGTTGTGAGTTCAAGCCCCATGTGGGGCATAGAGCTTACTTAAAAAAAAAAAAAAAAGAGTCAAAAAGAGCCACCACTCACCAGCCCGGGAAGAGGGGTTCCATGGGGGAGGGGAGGGCTCTGGCTGTTTCTGTTGCTTTTTGTCTTTAAAACAGAGAGATTTGAAGCAAATAAGGGAGCGTTAACATCTATTAAGGGCATGGACCCAGGGAAGGGAAGGAAGATTTACGTTTTCTTTTCAGTATATTTCTATACTTTGAAATATTTTATAATCAAAAATTTTAATTGAAAAACCCTGGTCCATCAGGCAGGTGTAAGGACCAATGCAGCCGTTCTAACGACATTTGTCACACACCAGGCTGAGCACTTGCAGTACCTTCATCTTTAATCCTCACATCAGGCTTGACCAGAGGGACCATTTGTCATTCCCACCTTACAGAAGAAGAAATGGAGGGTCTGAGTAGCACAGTGATGTGCCCAAGGTCATTGGCCAGTTAGTAGCAGAGCCAGGATTAGAACGCAGGGCTTTTAGCCATTAGGGTCCCTGGGAGTGCCTACCCCAGAGCCCACAGCTGTGAAAGAGTTCCCATCTTTGTGTTGTGTTGTAATTAATCTGTTTATTGTTGTAAAACTCATCATTTACCATTTGAACCATTTTTAAAGTGTACGATTCAGTGGCATTTAGTACATTCAAAACTTTGTGCAACCCCCAGCTCTCTCTCACCCCAGGACATTCTTCTCACCCCAAAAGGAACCCTGTGCGCATTAATCAGTCATGCCCACTCACCCCTCCCCCAGGCCCTGTAACCACCAGTCTACTTCCTGCCTGTGTGGATTTGCCTCTTCTGGGCATTCATACGTTATGTGGCCTTTTGTGTCTGGCTTCTTTCACTGAGCATCATGTTTCCAAGGCTCATCCATGTTGTAGCCTGTCTCAGTACTTCATTCCTGTTTATGGCCGAATAATATTTCCATGTACAGATAGACTGACTGCCTTTTGGCGATTGTGAATAATGCTGCTGTGAACATTTATGTACATGTTTTTGAACACCTGTTTTTGATGCCTTTGTATATATACCTCAGAGTGGAATTGCTGGGTCGGATGATAATTCTGCAACTTACTGAGGAGCTTCCAAACTGTTTTCCGTAGTGATTGCACCCTTTCACAGCCTGGGCAGCAATGTGGGGGGAGGGGGTCCTATTTCTGTACATCCTCACCAACACCTGCTGTTCTCTGTGTTTGAAGCCATCCCCGTGGGTGTGAGTTGGCATCTCATTGTAGTTCTGATTTGCATTTCCCCCAGGTCGAATTGTTTTGGTTTTTAGAAATGTCTTTGTAGTGTAAGGATAGGGTTATGCTAAGACAGTCAAGAATGGCGTTCCTGGTGGAAGAACAGCACAAGCAAAGGCTGGGAGGAAGGATCCTTCTCAGATTAGGAAGGGAGTGAGGCCAGTGAGCGTGGACGCCTTGTGGACCAGGGGGTTGAGTACGGACCTGTTCCAGCCCCCGTGTTGTCCATGGCCCGGGGAGTTGGGGGTGAGCCGGATGCCAGGGGAGGCTTCCGAAGCATGCCCCCCCGCCCCAGCTGCCCACCAACAGAGCCTAGGTCAAATAACAGGCTCTTCAGCTCTGCGCACAATGGTCTACATGGGTACTGCAGCCCCTTGTGTCTGAGGCTTGCTCCTCAGAATTCTCTAGCTCCCCCCACGTGGTCTCTGACTTTCCCCCACTGAGTCTCTCCCACCATCGTTGTCCTTTCTCTCCCCCTCCCTTGTCTTTCTTGCTGCCTTTTTCCGCTGTGTCTCTTTGTCCCAGTCTCTCCCCCCATCTCCTTCTTTCCCTGTTCCTCTCTCCCACTCTGCGCCTGTCCCTACCCTGTGTCCCCCTGTCGCTTCATCTCTCTCCTTCCATCTCTCCCTCACTGTCTCTCTCCATCATGACCAACTGTCCTGCTTGCCCAGGACACAGGACTTTCTGTACTACAACCAGCAAAGTCCTGGGCAAACAGACCAGGTGGTCACCCTGCTGTCCCCGCTCTGCCCTGCCAGCATCCCTTTCCAATGCCCTTGCTCAAGCCCCAGCCAACCTGACTGTTCGTGTTCAACCTCCCGGCCCTTTATAATTAGTGTGTTCCTCCTGATAGAGTTGATTTCTGAATCTTTCAATAATTTTGTCAGATGTGGTCCTTGAAGTCTGAGTAGTCAGAAAAGGCCGGTGTTCTGCCTGGGGGCTGGCTGATTTCAGGCTCATCATCTGGGTCTCCCTCCATCTCCTCATCCCGCTCCCTCTCTAGTTGGAAATCTGGCCCTTTAGGAGGGGATGCAGTGTTCCAAGAGGCAGATGCCTTTGAAGACCCTCGATTCTCCTCCAGCTGAGCCCAGCTCCTCTCCCATGCCAGTGGTGGATGGACCCTCGAAACAGCCTCTTGCTTTCCCAGGCTGGCCCTTCCCCACCAGCTCTGTGTCTCTGCTGGTGACAGTGACAAGGGACGTGTCAGCTCCAGCATCTCACGGATGCCACCTGAATGAGCCCGATTTGGGGGCGGGGGGAACAATAGTGTCTTCGTAATGCCAGATGTGGGCTTCCAGCTCCATGAGGCTGCAGTGCCATTGCTCAGAACTTTGAGGCTTCACTTTGCACCTTGCAAGGGAACACAGGGGTCCTGGCCAAAATTTACTCACTCAACAGACTTCTGCCCAGCACCTCTTTCCTCCTTCCTCCCCAGGCTTTAGAACTCACCCATGATTAACGTGTGTTCCCGGCCTGCCAGGGACTTATAGTGGATAAGAGGACAGTGTCGGATATAAGCAGACCTCAGCTTGCCACTACTAGTCCCTGTGTGACCTTGGACACATTGCCTAATAGCGCTGAGCCTCAGTTTCTTCCTCTATTAAATGGGATGACATGGTAGCTACCTCCTAGAGATGGCATAAAGGTCACTTGAGATCACATAGCATTATTCTGGGCATGTAATAAGTACCCAGTAAAAGGAAGTTTTATTAATTATCATCATCATCTTCGTCGTTGTCATTGTCATCTGGTAAGGGTGAGATCTGGCACAAGAAGGAAATTGTAGTGAAGTGCAACAATGTAGTCAAAGTGCTATTATACCTTAAAGGTGTGCACCTCAGGGAAGGGACGTTTGGGATTGGGTCTTGAAGGATACATAGGAGTTCAAGGTTAGGGAGAAGGCCTTCAGGATGGCAAAGGCATAGGGGCTTAGAAGAGCCTAGAAGGTTGTGGGGGGAGGGGATGATTGGGCTGTGAGAGTAGCTCCAGGTCTGTGGGATGGGGTTCCTACAAGAGAGTCCAGAGCCTTAAGCACTAGGACAAGGAGAACACATTTCTTGTGCAAGGGTCAATAGGGAGCCATTTAAGGTTCTGGAACATAGTAATCCACTTGCTTTCCACAGGGAAGGAAAAATCCATCCAGAGCAGAGGCTCAGGATATTCTTTCTGAAATCAAACCACTGCAGGATGGTTGTGGGGCTCTTTTCACTTCCTAGCCATCATACATTTTTATACTTAACAGATTTCTAGCAGGCAGCAGCCAAATGTCTTGAAGAAGAGGAACCTGTTTCTAATTTGCTGGAAGGTACCATGCGCACCAGCACTGGGATTCCTCAACCCTCCACCATGGTCCCCACCCCTTTAAGGGCATCTCCTCAGGCACCTCCCCCCCCCCCCCCCCCGGCCCGGCCCGGGATAGTCGGGAGGCTCAGCTCATGCCTGAAAGCCCAGTGGGAGGCTGACTCCTCAGGAGGTGACCTGCATTGTCTCATGGAGTCCTCTTGAGGGCACCGCTCGGAGGAGGGCTGCTGTAGGCATAGTGCCACATGCTCTGCGGGGCCATTTAACAGATTCAGGGACTGGGGGTCTGGCAAGGTCGTCCCACCCAACGTGCCTTCCCAATGGCCTTTGACAAATGAAAACCATGGCTTATAAACTCACTTTTTAAATATGCCAATGTGCCGTGGACATCTTTTTCTCTTTTCAGCTTTATTGAGATACACTTGACATAGTAACATTGTGTAAGTTTAAAGTATACAGCGTGATGATTTCATAGGCGTATATATTGCAAAATGTTTACCACAGTAAGACTAGCTAACGCATCCTTCACCTCACACAATTACCATTTTGTTGTTCTGTTGGGAATAGTGAAGTTCTACTGTCATAGGAAGTGTCAAGTATATAATGCTGAATCGTTAACCATAGTCACCACTCTGGACGTTAGATCCCCAGAACTGACTCATCTTATGTGGACGTCTTTCCATTACGTTATTTTTCATTGCTTCAGGAAATCACCATATTTTAT